GCAAGCAAATGGCAGAACGGTTGGAACAGAATGGCTTCAATATTCCAATCGCTGTGATCACTCGACGGAACAGTCAATATGATACAGTGGTGAGAATGATCGAGACTCCATCGGATAAACTCAACGAATATTTACTCGAATTTAAAAACGATTCATTAATTTTATCTTGACGTAATATTGCCATTCTCCATGAATTTGCTACTATGTTTGCTTTAATTGCGAAGATATTTACCAGAGCACAATCGGATCAAACTGCTTGCATATCACTGGTAGCGCCATGGCTATTTGAAATGTATTATGACCTTGAATTTGAGCAAGCTTCGTGCAAATACACGAATGGCCTATGCAAAGAACTTTTAAAACCAATGTATGATAGTTTTCATGGGTTATTTAAACAATTAGGATTGTCAACTGATAGAATGGGGAGAGTTTATTCGACATCTGAACTTTACAACGACTCTATCTTTTTGATAACTCCATTTTTGGACTCACGATTGTTTGATCTACGATGGGTCATGCATCCCAAACTACCGACTGAACTGAAGCTGCAATTGTGTAAAACGATCAACCGCTTGGTAGCCAGTGTTGCTTTGCAGTTGCACGGTGCGGGTCTACAAGAACACAATGATACAATAGTTGAAACATTGCCGATAGCCACAGCCAACAACAAAAGTCCTGGTGTGAAAAGAAAGACTCTCTTCGCTTTCCCGAAAGATAACGAGCCTTTAGTCAAACGAACACGATCCAATACAAGTGGACAAACCGAAGAAGAAATACTCCTGTTATCCAAAGAGACATCCGATGATTGTAGTCTGATTTTTGCAAAAGCGACGATCTACCCATATCTAAATTTTACTTGCTCGTCGTCTTTTGTGTGTACCGACGACAACAGCACCAGTGGAACGGATATTTTCTACAAGTGGATTCGTGATGCGACCACACAGAGGACACATGTCTAAAGAAATGTTGGATAAATTAACATTTCTTAAGTGCAATATGGAACTTTTGAATTCGAGTTAGGTGCTTTTATCTTCTTCATCTCTTCTTGAGGGTGAGGGTGTCATCAGGGTTGCCAAATCAAAATTTTGGAAATCAGTAGTTTGAAAAGAGAAATCAGGAGTTTCTCAGGAGAATTTTTTGTTTTAAATCAGAAGAAAAATCAGGAGATTTTTTTTGGGTAGTTATTCAGTTATTTGATGACTTTCACGATATAAAATTCCACTTTCTGGCTTATCATATAGGTACAACTAGGTTCCCGCTGTTCATACCGAAATATTGGTGAAAACATTTGACTATAAATAAATTAGAACGAAAAGGGATGATATTTTCATAATACTTGCTGAAATTCTTTTGCCAGGTAAGGAAGTTCATCTGGAAAAAAGTTTATCTAACTACTAGTCTGTCCCTCAGTCTGTTCATTCACTCTAAGAAAATCGGAGTTTTACGGAACCTGTATTAAGGAGAAAATCTTTGAGGTTTCGTAGCGATTTGCTGAACCAAAAACGACATGGCAAATATTCTGCCGAACCTCTTCTGGTTCCGTAAACTGATGCGAAACCTCAAAAGATCTTCCCCTCCATACAGGTCCTCTAAAGCTTCTATTTTTGTAGTGTTTGCACGAAGTCGAAAGTCAAACATATTTCATGGCACATTTTGAGTGTGCTCATTAGAGATCATCGGGACCAGTCCCAGTCCCGATGGGACCGGAACTGGGACCGGGACCGGGACCGGGACCAAATGTCCCGAGACCAGTACGGGACCGGGACCAGATGTCTCGGGACCAGTACGGGATCGGGACTAAAAAATCGTGGTCCCAATGATCCCTAGTGCTCATGGATTATCATGTGGTGCATTTTCTCGTTATCCATGGGCCCAGAGGTTGCGTCTCGTTTCGAAAGTAATGATTTCAGCATAAACAAGAGATTTGAATTGCTTCTTGCTATGGGGAAGCTGGGCGAGTTTGTCGGATCATTGTCACATAGAAAAATCACTTCTGTCTTATATAGTTGAGGGTTAAATGAACCGCAATGACGAACATTACTTGTGTATTATTTTATCACCTTGATTTAGAGTTGGATGTGTAAGATTATTTGTTTTAATTCAAAGACTTTTCCTGTGACAAAAGGAAAAAAGGCACCAAATTTTCT